TCTTTGAAGTTGAAAGCTGGTTTTGCAGTTGAAACGTTAAAACGAAACTTTGCAGCAAAACTTAACTTAGAACCGAGACTTTTAACGGAAAAGAAAAGAAACTAAGAAAAGAAAGAAAAGTGAGACGAGATGGCTTGAATTAAATCTGTTTTAACCCATATCTTGATTTGGGTCATTTGTCTCTGCGTCTACATGGTTACTATAACCATCGTCGGCTCCACCCGGCTTGTTCTGCCGAAAGAGAGCATCACAAGAGAGCAGAGGGCAAGAGCACATCACAAGAGAGGATCACACGAGAGAGAGGATCACAAGAGAGAGATTCTGTGTTCGGGTCTAAGATTTTAAACTCAAAATGTTTGTCCCGCCTCCTGGAGGAATTTGGAATTCGGACAATAAGATACTATATGGTTATTTGAGAAGGGAGTCTTTTCTATCCCCCCCCCTTTCTCTCATCGCGAATCATGTGTTCTCTGTGGTCTGCTTACTCATCAGCTCGAAACAAGAGGATTCAGTTTAGACATAATTTCCATTTTAAGAACATAAACATTTTTACACAGATTTCAATCGAGCCATCTTTTGAATTAAACACATACGAGCATAATGATAGGAAGCACGACACTTTCAATCCAGTATCTCTAATATTTAAAACAATTACATGACTTAGATGTGATCTAAGCAGAATAGACACATACAGGGGTTGTAAACACAATATATAATTGTTATGTTACATGATTTTGATTATGGGTCAGTCAAGAATTGTTCTGGGATGAGTTTTATTGGTATTGGAGAATTGGAGGAAAGTCCTTATATGTGTGTGTGTGTGTGTATCCTTATGGTCAGCATTTGTCGCATCCGTGGTGTGTACCACGTGAGGGTTTAGTTTCGCAAATGGTTGTCTTCAAGACAAAGGGTATTTTTGTATGCAAGTCCACTTTTTCAGCCTTAAGGAGATGCAATAATTGATAAGGGGAAAACTAGCTCGGGACGCTGAATGGTTCAGTCTGTTTAGTCGCAGGGGTCAGGTGACTCCTTGTTAGGGCCTCTTGTTTCACCATTTCTGAACAGATCTGTTCTTGCCAAATTATAAAACATTGACAACGTCTTTCCTTTAGTTAAACAACACAAGGGTCTTTTGCCTCATAGCCTGGGGCTAATCTGGAATATGCAGTTTCTTGTGTTTATGTACGAACGCTTCACTCGTGTGGGTTGCATTCTCGTTGTTGCTACAACGTGCTACAACTGAGTGGTTTCTAGACACTCTGCACCATAGAAGGGATGTGCCTGCCTGTTTACTGCAGTCCAGATATGTCTCTTATGGAAAATGTATGACCGTCATGAAAAGGAGAATCAGGCAATGATGACCACAGACTGTTGAGCGGCTGTCTTGTATCAGACAAGATTGGGCAAATATTCCACTAGCAAAACTCAGACAAACTAGTATCCTCAACTCCCAAATGATTAAAAAGTGTAATTAAAAGGAAAGGTGATGTGACACAGTGGTAAACATGTCTCTGTCCCAACTTTTTGGGGGGGTGTTGCAGCCATCAAAATCAAAATTTGTTCATATTTACAAAATACAATGTTGGTCAGTGAAAACATTGGAAAACTTTTGTACTTTTGTCAGTTAAAAAAAGGTTAAAAAGAATGAACAAATAACAGATTCTTGATTTTATTGCATTTTACAAAATGTCCCAACTTTTTCTGATTTGGGGTTGTAAACTAGTAGACTAGTCATTTGTTATGACCCATCCAAAAAATTAGATGGAGAAAAATACTAGAAATTGTGTGAGATTACAATTGAGTATATAGCACATGGGCATGTGTGTTTGTGTGTTAAGTACATAGTTTTTTATTCACGGGCGCATCTGTTGAGGTAATTGGTCACAGTAGACGTCTAGTTTCCTGAAGATCCCTTTTTCCCTCTCATCACTCTCTCTTACTGTCATTGGTTTTCTCTCTAGTGTATTGCCCTGGTTAATTTAGTTGCCAGTGTAGCAGGCTAGCACAGGTAAAGATTTAGCTCACTGTATCTCTGCCTGAGCTGTTAGAGCCATTTGTTATTAATGCCACACACACACACACACACACACCACACACATTTATTGATGTGCTTGTCAGAGCCTCTTACATGCATCTTGTTTTCATTCTCTGTTCATTTGTTTTCTTTTAGTTGTATGTTTTTATAGTGTATATTTTTGTCTGTATTGCCCTGACTAGCTGCCCTGCCATTGCTTTGTGTGCTCTAGCTGAGCTCCATATTTGGCGTTTTTCTCTCTCTCCCCCTCTTTTCTCTTTTCTTTTATAGAACACATATTCTCTCCCATTTTTCCCTCCCTTCAGGCTTTTTTATTCACATTTTCTAATCTTTCCCTTTATTTCCTGTTTTCACTCGTTCTCTTCCGCCTACACTCATCTGTCCCTATATGTTTGTTTTCCTTCTGCATCTGTAAGTTCTTTTTCTTCCATTTCCATGTTTTTCTATGCAGTCTTCAAGCCCACCGCTTCCACTAACACTTCTCTCTCATATTCCATCTGTCACTTTTTCTCTCCATCTCTTGATTAAATGGAAAGACACATTCAGACTCACTTCCACAATCAAACCTCTTATCCCTGTGCAAGCCCTTTGTGTTCACTTTTAAATGTCTCTCTGCTTTTCTCTTTCTTTCTCTCCATCTCTTACACACACACACAAACACACAATCTCTGACACACACACATACACACATTCTTGTACATCTATCTTTGTGAGGACATGTATTGACACAATTCACAATTCTCTAGCTCCTTACCCTAACCCTACCCATCACAACTAACTGCCTAATCTGAACCCTTGCCACAAACATATACCCTTAACCTAATAATAGCATTATCCCTAAAACCAAGTCTTGATTCCCAAATATCTCACAGTGGGATTTTGAATCTCGCATTGTGACTTTATATCTCACAATGCGATTTTTCAATTCATCACTTTATGCAACTTTGTTTTACAATCTGACATTATTTTGAGCTTTATCTCACAAGTAACTTTTGATTATTCTGAGGTGGAAACAGGCTTCCATACTCACAGCCTTATCCAAGTTGGTGTTCTATTAAATGGTCGGCCAGATGGTCTCCCAGTCATAAAGTCATGAAATAGGTGCCTTGGGAAATCACACTTGTCTCTGTGATAGCCCAAAGCTCTGTATACAGGGAAAAAGCAAAAAAAAAATCAACCAATCAGAAAACTGGTCCATATTGTACTGTCATCTATAGCTCATGCAAGCACACATAAATACATACTTCATATGTTCATAAATGCACAGTCATTTCGGGGGCATTTAGGGCCATTTATCTACTGTAGTGACACATTAGAGAATGATAGAGTTCAGCACACAATGTACATTGACATTGCTTAATGGATTGGTTACTATTGTCTATTGGAGTGATGCGAACCCAGTAGGAACATTATAATAGCAGAGAGCTTCTCACTTATGAAGTGTGTGTGTGTGTGTGTGTGTGTGTGTGTGTGTGTGTGTGTGTGTGTGTGTGTGTGTGTGTGTGTGTGTGTGTGTGTGTGTGTGTGTGTGTGTGTGTGTGTGTGTGTGTGTGTGTGTGTGTGTGTGTGTGTGTGTGTGTGTGTGTGTGTGTGTGTGTGTGTGTGGCGCCTGAAGACAGGAAAGATGATTATTGTGGCATCAGGCCTAATTAAATCCACATTGATTATTACTGTCTGACTTTATGCAGGGTCTTTATTGATGGATTGATGGTGTGTTTTGAGATGTGTCAGATTAGGACAGCAATATCAGTCAGTCAAATGTTTCTAGCAAAAGAGAGAGAGAGAGAGCATCTAACACTACCACTTAAATGCATCTGAAAGGACAGGGTGATTAATTGCACTGAATTAATACTTTCAGCCCAGTCATTTCCATATTTAATATATTTCTGTCTATCCTATGTTTTAAATGACAACTTTACAGATGACTAAGTGACTCTATTCACAAATTACTCTGAGCAGTCACTGTCTCGTTAAACAGATTTGAAAAGGCAGTCTTATGTCACAGCTTGTGTGAATATGAAATTCATATTATGAACTTGGAATAGTTATGGTTAAATAATTGATATAGCTAAAACTGTGACCTGTACTTAATATGCATGATTTTCGATCATTGCATTGCTTGTAAACATCCTACACTTAGTCTAAAAAAAGGATAATGTACAGTCAATACAGACCTCTGATCTGCATAGGGGTGATCATCACCGTCTGGCTGACTGTACAGTATACATTTTCCTGCTATTTTTGTGGCTACTTACCAAATAAATAAACAGACATGAAATATTGGTTATGTTTTTCTATGTAATACGAGAACCAGCACCATTACCACAGCTATGTAGGAATTATTATTATTGTATATTTTTTTGGACATATAACTTTTACGGTCAAAAATATTTATCATATTATAAATTAATTATATATTGTATAATATAAGAATTGTGTATAATTAAAAATCGAGCATTCCAGAGAGCCATTTAATAGAGCTCAACAGTGCCTGTCCACATTTAGTATTGCGTTGGTTCCAAAAGATGTTTCATTAATTTCGACAATTGGGATTTTAAAAAACCAACCACTCAACCAGCTTTGAGTTGATATTACAAACTTTGATTTAAAATAAAAACAAACAAACACAATACAAAAAGATACAGAAATATAAGTAGTTTTTTTTCCTGCAATTTGCAGTGCTTCATGGGAGTGGGCAGTCGCTGTAGAGCTCTTTTAGCATTTTGTTCACTGCAGTTTTATGATTGGTCGATATTTATCTGCTGGATCATGTGCAGTGTCTTCACCAGCAATCATGCTGTTAAACATTTTTTTAAATACATTGAAACAAAGGGGTATGTCTTTTTTATTGAAAATTGGTGTCTTATAATAATATATCATATTGTTTTAATAAGCTGTCTGAAGTCATATGGCTTATTATATTACAGTGACATTGCAGATTTGTAACACTTCTCCTGTCACACAGGTGTTTCTCTGGACAGAGTGTTTGACTACAGCGAGTACTGGGAAGTGGCTCGTGGTCTGTACGCTCCCTTCGACTGCACCGCCACAATGAAGTCTGGTAATGCAGATGTTTATGAAAATGAGATCCCAGGGGGCCAGTACACCAACCTTCACTTCCAGGCCCACAGCATGGGCCTCGGTAACAAGTTCAAAGAGGTGAAGAAAGCCTACGCTGAAGCCAACAAGCTGCTGGGAGACCTTATCAAAGTAAGCTTTAAAAATCTCATTTTGATTCCAAATGTGTCTCTCTCTCTCTCTCTCTCTCTCTCTCTCTCTCTCTCTCTCTCTTTATTTATTTCTCTCTCTCTCTCTATCTATCTCTCTCTTTATTTATTTCTCTCTGTCCTTCTCTCCTCCTCCCCTGTTCCACATACTGAAGAGTGTCCTTGAAGGCCAGTGTGAATAAAGTGACTTTTTCTTTTCTATTGGATTTGCTGTCATTTAAATTCCACAAGTATATAATCACAGCTCTGTAATTTTTGTTCCTGTTGGTTCAAACCTAGCAATTAACTTAAAACATAGAAATTATCTGCAGTGTACCCTAAATTTTGCATGTAGACTAAATAACAATTTCATCGCGGGCACGCTTCATTCTTTCCTCTGTTCACATTAAAATAATTACACTTTACAAAATTATTTTAGAGACGTTGGATGGATATTTCTAGTCAATGGGATGAGCTTACATCCTGTCACCATCCAGAATCTCTGTGACTGACAGAAAGTGGCAGAAGTTGTTCTTGTTAGAGGAACAGTGTGATAGTGAGAGTTCTGGTTATCAGCTGATCTGCCATATAAACTGATACCAGCAGTCAGTGTCACCTGCCAATGTTGGCTTCTGCTGTGTTACATTCTGTCTCCTATAAGGCCAAATAAACCGAGCAGCTGAAATGTGTCTGGCATCACTTGCTTCTGTATTTTGCTCAATGCAATCAATTATTGGGATTCTCCTAATAGAAGTTTATGTTTACCTCTAGTGTATCTGCATGTGATTGTTATTCAGTTCACCCTCTTTATCTTGTTTTTCTGTCAGTGCATTCCTGCCTGCACTCGTTTTTGTTGTTGTTGTTGTTGTTGTTTTTCACACCATCTCTCTCTCCAATTTAGTTCATCGGTTTGGGGGAAATGGGCTAGACTTTGGGAGTTTGTGGTGATTCCATTTATATTCATTTTGCTATTGCCATCTCTCTCTCTCTCTCTCTCTCTCTCTCTCTCTCTCTCTCTCTCTCTCTCTCTCTCTCTCTCTCTCTCTCTCTCTCTGCCAAGGTATGTTCAGAATGGCATGCCACATTCTATTTTTAAAAGAAAAGTACTATGCTTATGCATTATTTATACTTTATACAGTATCTGAATTGTCTTTATTCATGGAATACTTTAATTTTAAGGATGCATTGAAGTGATCAACAGTAAAGTGACACTAAAGACATTACATTAGCCGCGTTTCCACCGTTGGGCAAAACCATTCTCGTTGCTTAATCATTCTATTCGGTGCTGATCCGGCCCAGCCGGTACGTATATGGTTTAATGTTCCACTCTGAGGCTGATAATGGAACTCTGTAATACAAATGCGTCAGCCATTACCTTGGTAACACAAGAGTTTACAGACGTTATGAGATGTAAATAGCTCACTATGGAGGATGATTAGACATTTCTTTTAATTTTAGTATTAACTTGTGTTTGCGTCTCTCAAAGAGCACACTTGGCCAGCTACAGAGAAACAGCCAGGCAACAGACAAATGACCAATCCTGAATGTTGACATCACTGCACGCATTTTACCAGCACTGTTAGCCAAGCGTGCTGACAATTCCGGGCCGAGAACGGTTTGCAATCTTTCCATGCCAAACCAAGCTCAAGTGGAAATACAACTGGAACCATTCCTTTCCGTTCATAGAACTGTTCGGCCCCATGGTGTAAATGCGGCTATTGTTAAAGTTTCAAGTAAATGCTGTTCTTTTGGACTTTCTATTCATCAAAGAATCATGAAAAAATGCATTACTGTTTCCACAAATATATTTCAACATTGATAATAAGAAATGTTTCTTAAACACCAAATCAGAAGGATTTCTAAAGGATCAATGGCTGCTGAAATTCAGCTTTGCCTTCTCAGGAATAAAAAAATACCAAACAGTTTTAAATTGTAATAATATTTCACATTGCAGTTTTTACAGTATGTTTTAATCAAATAAATATAAATAAAACATTTAAAAATCGATTTAAAAATATTTGCATAATAGGTAGCGTAGTGTACATGATGCACAGTAAAGCATTATGATAGTTTTTCATTCTGAACACAACCTTCATGTCTTGCTCTTCCTTGCTACCCAGTTTGCTGAGACACACACATACACACACTCCTCTAATTCTGTTCCTTTTGAAGCAGCAGCAAGCACTGACACACACAAACCGTTCTCTTGAGTTCAAAGCTCTCTCTGTCCATGCCGATGGCCAAACAGATGTACCCTGTCAGTTAGCCAGAGATAGCCTGCACAATAACACAGGAGAGAGTAAACACTTCTAGACCTGTGTGTGTGTGTGAAGCAAAGGAAGCAAAAACCGAGAGACAGAAGCAGAGAGCGACTGAGATGTACACAGAAGGGATTACTGTACGTCAGAAAAGCAGTAAGAGGAGACACTGACGGGCTTTAGGATTGCTGTGTGTGTGTGTGTGTGTGTGTGGTTGTGTGTTTGATCCCCTCTTAATCCCGTCTCAGTCTCATCTTATAACACTTTCCCCGACAGCCTCCATCACAGTGGCTTGGCCTGACCGAGTTTTGCATTGTGTCTGGGTACTTAACAAATCCTCTACTTAATTAACAACCCAATGATTTCTCTCTCTGTTCGAACTAAAGGCAAAAGTTAAAGGATTTTTCAGTAACTTAGGGCGGCTTCCTCATAATTTGAAACTTTTACAAGAAACATGATTTCTTTTGACTTCAGGCAATCCTGTTGAGCATCCGACCAACAATGTAGCCAAATATTACAGATTGGGAGGAGTGGGGACTGTAGACTTGGAATTAAGCCTTTTCCCCGTTATTATTTGATTCACGGGACCGGACACCAGTTATCTTGCCAAGAAAAATCTTTATTCTTATATGTCAGGAGAGAAACTTGAGAAGATGTTGTATTCATGCCAGGTCCATGCGTTTCCGCGTTTCTCTGCCATAGTACAGTAAGATTGAATTTATATACACCACTGAGGGACTTTCCAACTTTCTTGTAAGGTAGGAAAACATGTTGCTTGAGCTTTAAAAATGGAACGTATATGCTTACACATGGCACAATCCACTTTCCATATTAAGAAACTTCCCTTCAGTGTATACATTTGGGGTACATTGCATCAGTTGAAAAACATTCCTTTTCTTATAAAGAATATGCCAACTGTACACATTTGATGTATCATTATCATTGGAACAGTGTTACATTCTCCCTTCCCTGTCTGACATGTGATCCTCACACATGCTGTCTATAGTATATGCATTCAAACACATGCATTTAAAACTCCATAAGATAATACAACTGATTATGAATATTAATAAAGAATAATAATACAGATACATAATATTAAATAATGCAATTATATTAAAAGATTAAATGTTAGTCTTCAGGGACCAACTTCTTTTCTTTAACTTTTTTGGGGGGGGGTAATTCTTTTAATTGATCAGCCACTATTCAGAATTTCATGATGGTTTATATTGACTGCCTTGTACTGGACAGTTACACTACTGCCTACTATTTTTGTAAGTATTTTTCAAATGGTAACATGCCATATTCTTGTCACATAAACTTGCTATGTTGGTTTAAGTCTGTGAGGGACTTCCAGTCCTTACAAAAAAATAATTACATTCATTATTTTTTTTAAATATATAAATTATAATTGTGTTTTGAAAAATGCTTTAGTTCAGTCATCCAGGTGTTCTTTACCAAATTAATTTCTGAAAATGTATTATATATACAGTATAATAATTCATATAATTAATATAATATTTTTGTCCCCTGTTTCCCAGCAAGTTGGGATGCAATCGTGTGCAATATTGTTAGTTATTTAGCTAAACAGGTAGTTAAGGGTACGTATCAAAATGGATAGTATTAAAGTTGACAGAATTTATTGGAAAAAAATAAAAGATAAATCAAACAAAATTTTGAGAAGAGAGACCTTGCTGCAAAATCAGTTATTATTTATCTATGAATAAGTTTGAATATACATATAAACAATCAGACTAACGGAAATGAAATCAAAACTGGCTGATGATGCAGAGAAAATAGCTGTGTCACAGATGGGAGAGATGAAGATGGGAAATATAACAGGTGTGCTATGAGGATGATGAAGGAGGCTCTTTATCTCGCAGTAGAGTAGCTCACAGCGCCTTTTATGTGTTGAATTTCATATTTACATTTTGTACTATTCATTGTTAAATGCACACTACCGTTAAAAATTCTAACGTTTATATATGGAGTCTGTACAATTTTGTACAACGTTTGGAGTCTGTACAATTTTGTTTTTTATTTTATTTTTATTATAATATTTTAATTTATACTTTTATTGAGCAAGGATGCATTTAATAGTTTAAAATCTCTGAATCATCAGAGGATGCTGAAAAGTTTAAAGCGGCACAACTGTGTTCAACATTGACAATAATAAGAAATGTTACTTGAGCACCAAATCAGCATATTAAAATGATTTCTGAAGGATCATGTGACACTAAATATATATTTAAATATATGTGGATAAGAGACTTTAAAAATATATTTAAGTTACATTTTAGGACGAGATGGTAATATCTCTTGCTTTATTTATTTAAATCTTACCGACCCCAAACTTCTGAATGGTAGTGTACATTATTATTATTTCACAATCTGAGTATATATCAGTATTCCCATTTCTAAGGGTTTAATTGCATTTCATCCAACCAAAGAGGCATTTTCCATAAGATATTTTTAGAATACCACTTTAATCTTGTTCAGTTACTACTTTACTCTTGTAAAAGGCCTGTAATGGATTTATTTTTAAAATAGAATGCCTGAATTCTTGAAAACATAGATAATAGATAACAATAAAATAGTATCCCACATTTAGCACACAAGAGTTAAAAATGTGAGCAATACCCACACTGCAAAATAGTATGGGTACTATTCTATTCTTTATTCTTCTAAATACTGAACACAACCAAAGTCTCAGACAAGGCAGGAGCACTCCAGCTACCATGAGTCTTTAGGATTTGATGTAACATAAGCTCCAGCGTCTTTGACTTCAAATGTCTGTGGCAGGATGAAGGAAACGTTCATGATTAATTTAGTGGAATCACATTTGATTATCCAGACAGTTAAGTTTTCCTATTACGGAGAGTAATTTCTCTATGAACAGTATTCCCTGGCTGAGATTTCTGAAGCAGAAGAGTTATGCAAGAGTCACAGCATTTTAACATTTTTCAGAGAAGTTAGCCTACTCATGTAACGGTTTGTAATGTTGACATTTATATGCGTAAGAAGTTTTATAATTGGTCATATTCGGGTTTGGAAGTCCCTACTGTGCCATCCAATACAGTCCCAGTGGTGCTATAGAGTCACTCAGAGTTGTTGCTAAACCCTTTGCTCTGAAAAAGTCTTTGTACATGTCATGTCTGTGGCTTTGTGTTGAAACAAGGATATTACCCTTGCGTAACCTTTGTAGGAGTCTATTACAAAACTTAATCCTAAATGTCACTCACATTTCTTTCTTTCCTTTTTTTGACCTATTCCCAGTTCAGAGTGCTTACAGTTTGTTAGTGTTTTTAATATTATGTAAATACAATGATATCCTTTGAAATACCTTGGACTGCAATGTTAAATTATAACCACAACTATGGCTCATATCAAAATATTTGATACCATCACTGTACCACAGTGGCGAGGCCAGACATTTTAAAGTCAGTGGACCTTGGCAAAATAGGGTGGACCAATGGCTACAAGAGCTGAAGAGCAACCCAACACTTCAGCACAACTTCTCCATTTAGCTAGGTTCGTCAACCATAACTCCTTCAAGGACAGTCAGGAATCTTGGAGTGGTGATTGATGATCAGTTAAGCTTCACAGATATTACTACAACACCCTGGTCCTGCAGATTTGCTTTATACAACATTAGGAAGATTAGACCCTCCCTATCAGAGCAGGCCACACAAACTCCTTGTCCAAGCTCTTGTTCTCACCAGACTGGAATATTGTAATGTTCTTATAGCGGCATGTACTATCCAGCATGTACTATCAAGCCTTTGCAACTGATCCAGAATGCAGCAGCGAGGGTGGTCTTCAACAAGCCGAAGAAAGCCAACGTCACACCTTTCTTCATCAGTTTGCACTGGCTGCCATCAGCCACTCGCATCAAATTCAAGGCACTGATGCTTGCCTACAAGACAACCACTGGCTCTGCACCAATATACCTAAACTCACTAGTTCAGACTTATGCGCCCTCCAGAAGCTTGCTTTCTTGCTTTCCATTTTCAAAAAATGTCTAAAGATACATCTTTTTTGTCAGCACCAAAAAAAAAAAACTTGCTATGAGTACTGTGCTAGACTGAGACTTGTTACAGCACTTGTATACTGTTGCCCTCTTGTTGGTCTGATTGCTTCTATTGTTCTCCTCATTTGTAAATCACTTTGGATAAAAACGTCTGCTAATTGTTTAATGTAAATGTACTATCAAATTACATCATTTTACAATATATGGGATAAGAATGATTTGACAATTAAGATTAGTTAAAGGAACCGTATGTAAGAAATGTATTTCAATTAATCATAAAATGGCCCTGATATGTCACTAGACATTAAGAAATCATGTTCATTTCAAATACTTATATCACTGACAACAGTAGTCCAGCCAGGATATTGTCATTTAAAAAGTGAAGTTGCAGCCCTCAACTGATGTTGATGTTGTCATGTTGTGTTTTGGTCTGATGCGCCACCCTCCACCTATCTACCAATCACGAAGTCAGTAGTGTTGCGGCATCCGGGTTGCCAGCTCTGCTGTAGTTACCACAGCTGCAGCTACAAACGTGTCGGATAAAAAAATGTCTAACGTTACGAATCCAAAAAAACCTCATTATGATTCCGAAATACTTGGTGACAAAGTCCAAAATAAAACAAGGATTTGTATAGGAGATGCCTTTGAAAGATGTAGACGGCTGAAAACGGAGATGAATTTGCTGGATCCTGCAGCCTATCTGGCAACCTCGAGTCAGGGGGGAGGGGGAGGGGACACACCGCTCTACAGTAATTTGAAAGTGATTGCAGTACCAGTTTTGGCCACAATCTTACATACGGTTCCTTTAAATATGATTTATTGTCAGACAACAGTTTCATGAAAACAACAAAATCCATCCATTAAGAGAAAATAACATATGTACAGAATAAGAACAATAATCAAAGATAAGTAATCATAGGTGGAGCGTGTGTAATGCTGAGCCAGGCTTAGCCTTCTCCTGGCCACACACTCGAGACTAGCTGGGAATTTTCTCACTCAAACCACTGCCTGCTGCTGCTTCTGATTGCTTTTAGAGGGAACAACTGCCCATATCTGCTGGTCTAGGAACAGGTTTCTCTGTAATAATAGCATATTGGCAATTTGGCAGACGACCCCATGCGTATTTGTGTTTGCGCTATGGAGAGTGTCAAAGGTTTCTATTTACAACGTGTTGATTTCTTGAAGCAGTGGCCAATCAGAGGTGCTTAAGTTAGAATCCACTCACCGCTCAAAGCACCGGAGTTTATATCCAGTGCTGAGTTCAATTCTCGTAAATCCTCTCATTATAACAAACAAACATTTTTCATGCTTGACCAGCGGCCATGTACGCGTTGCAAAGTCTTGGGACTGACATCTGTTAAATTCATGTATTTATTATTGTCTTGTAGGCCTATGCATGATTTTTTTCTCCATTCGCACAAGTTTTGCTGTACATAAGGTATTATTTCCACCGAGCGCTATACTATTTATGTGAAAGAAAAATTGTGTGACATTAACTTTTTATTCCTCTCCTTAATCTTTTTCTTTTTTCCCTTCTTCACCCCCTGTGTGTCTTTCCTCCTCTCAAATCCTAATGGATCTCTCATTTCTATACTGTTTTCTCACTCTCTTGTTTTGTTCTTTTGGTTTCTTTAGTCATTATCTGTAGAGGATGTTTAAAATAGATTTGAAGTATTGTTCTCTAATTATTTTGTGTTGTTCACATTTAAAGGAATAGCTCACACAAAAAATGTAAATCACTCAACCTTATGCGGTTTCAAACTTCATTTCTTTCGTGGAACAATAGTCGTAGTTTTAGAATATCCTGAAAAGAATGGCCAATATTATGAAACTGAATAGAGGTACATGAAATTGGCCATTTATAAGTCTTTGTAAACTAATCTTTCTTTCGATGCAGATCTTGTTGAATCCTTTGACCGGTATATTCTTCAAACCTTTTTCTTTTGTGTTCTATGGAAGAATGTAAGTCATGCAGGTTTAGAACAAATGATGACATAACTTTCATTATTGGGTGAACAATCTGTTTTGATCTGACCTCTCCACAGATCAATTCCTCTTTTGATTTCCTAATTTTTTTCTAGTTTGTTTTTAAAGTTCATGTTTGCTTTTTGGGGTTTGTAGCAGTGTAATGTGAATTGATTATTATCCTTGATTTGTCAGTATAATCGTTGGTAAGCGTTTCTAGCTGAGGGGAGAATTTTCAGCTTGTGGATGTACAGTTTATTTCCCATTGAAATGTGCTGTAAGAGTTTGTTTTAAAAGTTCCCAGAAAGGAATAGCTCATAGCTCTATTTTGTATAAATTCTGTGTCTCTATCTCACTTTGTTTTTCCAGGTGACCCCCTCGTCTAAGATTGTGGGTGATCTGGCTCAGTTTATGGTGCAGAACTCTCTCTCTCTGGCTGATGTGGAAGAGAGAGCAGACGAGCTCTCCTTCCCTCTGTCTGTTGTGGAGTTTCTGCAAGGACACATTGGAATACCACACGGAGGATTCCCTGAGCCCTTCAGGTCAAAGGTGAGATCACACTGTTTAATGAAAACTGATGTAAAAGTGCAACAATATTTCTCATAGAACTGTTCCTTGGAGAATTCAGTTTTTTTTTTTTTTTTTTTTTTTTTTTTTTTTACATTCAGTCATTTAGCAGACAACTTTTATCCAAGGCACCTACAAATGTGGACAAACACAAGCAGGGTTTTTTTTTTTTGAGAGAGAGAGAGAGTGACAGTGGCTTTGTTTTTGAATAATCTCTAGACACACGTAGAGAGAAAGAGTGTGAGCGAGAAGAAAATGAAAAGGTGAGAGGATGCTATAAAGTGAGAGGCAGTTCATAAAATCAAGAGAATAGCTTTGTGTGAATTCATCACAAAGTTTGTGTATATGTGTGAAAGACAGGATAAGAGACTAAAGGTTTAAGGCTGAGTAAAGCTTGTCACTTGCAGGCTCCTTGTCACCAGTGTCTGTGGCGTTTCCTCCTCCTTGTGCTGAAAGACTTGCTGAGAAAAGAAAGCAGATTGATCCACTATAATGCACAAACACACACATCTACATTCATATGGTCACAGGAAATACTTTTGCTTTATTTTTTAAATGGAGTTGTTACTGAGGAGTGAGGACAGACATCCTGCTTTTGCAGTCGAGGGCAAATTAACTTTGATTTCCTATTTCTCTGGCACACACAGAGACAGACAGACAAACCCTTTTGAAGCACTCTGAAGTCCAAAAATGAAAGATCAAAAGCTGTTTATCAGCACTGGCAGCATTTCCCTGTAATAGAGCTCAACGTGTGGCCTCACTGTAACAGAGAAAAATAGACAGAAAAAGACTTTTAGAAAGATTTTACCATTTCATATAGCCACTTTAATTATGTGTCTTAGTAGGACAGATAAAAATATAATAAAGTCTGAATGAAGTCAATTAAACTTTGTAAGTGTGACTGACATTTGCAGACTGCTTTAATTAACCTTTTCTCACACAGAACCATGAGGTCACTTACTTTAGCTGATATTGACTTACTTGAATTACTTACAAAAATATGACTTACTTCTCCACCAGGCAACAAGGATATTTCTGATTTTGGTGTCTAAAATTGTGATCATTGACATAAATGTTCCAGTAATTACAACAAATCCAACGCATACAGTATACTTTGTGCCTTGCTCAAGTTGCTTAGTAACATCTCGGTTACTTATCATCATAAATGCATTTAATTAAATAAAATGTAGTAATCTCACCATACATGCATTTAATTAAATACTAGCCTACTATTTTTCACAGTCATCTTTTTACTTTAACCCTCTGGGGTCTGAGGTGTTTTCTGGGTCCTGGAGGTGTTCTGACATGCTCTGACATTTGTGCTTTTTTCTGATACTTGTGACATTTTCATGGCTAAAGTCTGATTACACTGTTTTCAGCACAAACTCTGATACAGTAATATGTCAGCAGCATGTATATACAAGTTTTTAGTGAGATAATGACGTTTATGCGTGGTTTGTGAAAAAACTAAAAAAAACATTGTCACTGAAATAAGGTCATGAAACCCATACTAATAATTTCTTCATAAGACTTTTGAAAATTGTATCACATAGCCTAGAATATTTGCTTCGAAACTATGTGAAAATCATCCTAACTACTCATTCAGATAAGACGATATATTGATTTAAAATTTGTAAGACATGTTTTGTGTAAGAAAGCTTTATGCGGGGAGGCGTTAGCCACCCATTAACCCTCTGGGGTCGGCGGCCTCGCCGGCGATACCAGCTCACTTTTTTCCTTATCAGTGCAAAAGAGACTCAAATTACTCTGTTGATTTTGATCTTACATATAAGTGTTGAACATCATTCGATCCTGTTAAGTTTGTATTTTTTTTGTGGAACCTCACAATAAAAACAAAGTGTTGTGCTTTTCGCCTAATAAAGAAAAATAAACATGATGCGCATTCTGCGTTCTCTCTGTTAGTGAGGTCCATTCTGAAACGCGTCCGAAAAATGAACTGTAACTCTGCAAATACTCAGTCAAACAGGTATACAGGCACACAGGCATGAAGCCTGAATTATCTTCTTTTAAATGAAGTAATTTATATAAAAAAACAAATTTTCCCATTTTATGTAATCTGTACGAAAAGAGAGAGATGATAGTCGTTCTCGTCTCAGGTCATTAAAGTTAATTTGAACACGCCCATGGAGCGCGCGCTCTATTCAAACACAAATGCTCTGAGGCGATCCACGCCCACATCAGCTGGATAACCCACCGAAAGAGACTCATATTTACGACGCTGTGAGGAATAATACTATCTTAATAATAATCCTGGAAAAAATTACCTCAGAAGTGCAGGTAGTTTCATTTGGAGGAGCAACTGATCCAGCTGAGGAATAGGTACATTCTTTATTTTCAAGTGCTTTGTTCTAATCGCGATATGAAATAGTGTCTGTAAACAAAAAGACTGTTTGAATATGAATCGCATTTTTGTGTGTGAATGAATGAACAGCTTTTACCTAACTATATTCCAATACTGAGATGAGTAAAAAACGACTGAAATATGTTGAAATAAAATATTTTTGTACAAGCAACGTATTAAACTGCAAATTAACATTTATATGTCCTAATCATAAAAACGATATGTTACATATGAAAGACAAGATGTCGTTTTTACTGTAAAATACTGCCACATCAAATAAGCTTGTTTGCTAAGATGTTATTATTACATAATTTCGTATTAAACTGCAAATTAACATGTCCTAATCATAAAAACGATATGTTACATATGAAAGACAAGATGTCGTTTTTACTGTAAAATACTGCCACATCAAATAAGCTTGTTTGCTAAGATGTTATTATAGTGTTTGTTCGATTGTAGGCTATATTCAAACTAATTAATCCGCAACTGTGAAATATGTATGATAAGATGTATACTTTAGTATATACAAAGAAAGATTACATTTGAAATATAGTTAAAATTTTAATTGTTGTTGTAATTGTAACCTTTTTATTAAAATAGCAAAAATATATGTAGGCTACATATAAATAAATCTTAGGTAAATCTTAAAAGCTCAATATAAGCCTCCTCTTTAAATTATTTGTATTGTGTTTTATTAGTGACACATTTGGGATATATTCCCAAACTTTCTGTAAAAACAGAATGAGAATTAACTGCACAATTACTAGAAATTTTTACATTTGATATTATACAATTTGCAAGCACAATTTGAAAAATAAATAAATAATTGGAACTGTGAACCAATTTTGTATTATATAGGCCTATATATATATATATATATATACATATATATATATATATACATATATATATATATATATATATATATATATATATATATATATATATATATATATATATATATATATATATTGTCATTGCATTCTTGTGGCTCAGTGACACACCTGAATGAAAGGGTCATTAATATGCAGCTCCATTATGCCCTCATTATGCGGGCCCATTGTCTTCTCAGGTGTGAATCACAGCAGGTCACACCCCTGCGCATATTGCCTTTCCAAACAAAAAGTGTCATTTTTAAATTTAAACCAATCTATTGTTTTATGTGAATGATAAGGCAGGATGATTTTCAGATCATTTTGAAGAAAAAAACTCTAGGCGACAACATCCATTAGTCAAAAGTCTTGTGGACACATATTTAGTATGTGTTTTGTGGCCTTATTTCAGAAACTTTAAGTTTTAGTTTTTTCAATAACCACGCATAAACAATATTCTCTCAAAAATACAAACATGTACATACATGTTGATAACATATTATGGTAGCCCTGTTTGTGCTAAATAGAGTGTAATTACACCTTTGCCAGTAATTTGTTTATAAGCAACTGAAAAAAGCACAAATCTCAGAGTATGTCAAAACATCTCAAGGACCCCAAAAACACCTTAGACCCCAGAGGGTTAATATTTAGTGTTTCACACCTGAGAAAGACAAAGACCCTCCCCCAATGGCCCTATTAGGTGATATCATTATGAGGAGCCTTGCACAAAGAATGCGGAGAGACTTAAAAAAGAATGGCTTTTAGATTGTTTGGATTTATTTACAACACAACATAATCCAAAGATACACAACAAATGACAAAAAAGCACATTAGTAAACACACTGATCTAAGACAGAGACTTTGGTCAGTCACACACCTTTATGCCATTCCTAAAACATGGTAGGCTGCATACCTGTCATCTCCAAGGTGTTTGATTTTTCACTTTACCATGTTCATGTACAGAGACTCATGTGAATGATGTGAAAGTCAGCAGGACTCATCAGTGGCATCTGGTCACTTTAAAAATATTTTTTTAGAAGAAAAAAAACACCTGTGAACATGCTGATATCAAGAGAAACTATAGGGCTGCACGATTTTGGGAATACATTTTAGATTTTTCTGGTTAAAATTATGAAATTTACTAAATACATACACTATATATATATATATATATATAGTATATATATGAACACCAAGTTTGTTGTGCCTTGTAGGCATATATGTGTAGGGCTATTTAAAATATTAACAATAGCCTAGATAGCAGGCAGCCTATAAATCGTTAAAAAGGAACACTTCAGTAACACTACACTAGAGAAAAATATATGGATTATCATATGTTACTTTAAACGTTTCCATACGTTACGACGTTATGAAATGAGATTGGAGTAAAAACATGAAGCCTAATGTTTGGTGCGTTTTGCTTTTCAAACCCACAGCGCGAGTGACTCAAACCCACAGTGCGTGCAGAGAACATTTACTGAAGCGATCGAGCCGCTCCAAACTATGAAACATTATTCTTACCATATTATACATATCTACGTGTGAGCAGATTTCCACAAACACAGTATTTAACAGTAAACACAGGTCTAAACATTATAATATTCACCATGAATAAACACTCATAATACGAGCATACTGTTATATCGTGCTGTGTTTAATTATCGAACATAAAAACATTCTCGTGTCGTACATGTAGGTCTAAATACATTTAGCATTAGGCTTCATGTTTTTACTCCAATCACATTGCA